TTTAAACATTATAATGACACTATGTTATTCGTGTCTGTGTCAACCATTTTTCTCCTCGACAATGGGTGACCTTTTTAGGCGGTTCCGCCTTATCTTAGTCTGCCTGTTGGGACACTGCATCTCAATCAGCGCTTTTGTTTGTTCTGGGAGTTTTTGTGGATCGTTTTGTTTGTTTACGTATAGAGAAGAACATCGACATGAAAAAGACGAAAATAAACAGACAAAAACAACAGGGGGGGAGGGGGGGGGAAGAAGTAAAACCTACAGTACAGCCCTCCAGCCACATGCTCACTCAGAGCGGTCTGGCTGTAAAATACAGGGTTGAAGCAGCTCGCACTGAAATTAAATATGATCGAAATTGTGGCCGGGGGGAGGGGGGGAGGTAAGGGCAAACAGACCCAAAAAAGGGGGAGGGGCGGTTGAAATATTGACAAGTTATACCTAGATGTAAGAAATGATACGTGTTTAAATCCCCAACCTTTACACAGATGTCAAGCGTGTGTACATACATACAAAGTTTACAAGGGTCTAGTGAAACAGGTGTTTGGGGTTTGTCGGCAACTGACCAGTAACGTGAGACACAGAGAAGATATTACGAGAGAAACGCGATGTAGATCACCAGCCAGTGATAACGATAATGAAGTTCATACATTTACATTTCACATTTAGGTTTTTTGAACGGGTTTTTCTGTTTGCACTATACAGCGTATCGATCCCTTACCCGTTACCTAATTGTTAAACGCTGATAAATAATAACGAAAAACGTAAAGGTAGAATACACTCAAAATCGCATCGTAGATACGTTAGGGCTGACTGCAGATGAAAAAAGGAACATTATCTTCTATCTCCCAGCAAAAATGAATAATATTCAGACTTTTTAAATTTAAAATGAACCATGACGAAGTAAAGAATAGTTTTTACTTCATGTGATCTCAGTATAACTTTCTCAACTGCTGACAATATTTTCTATATTATCCTTTGTATTCGTTCCATATCCACATGTGTTGTATTTATGCGTTGGTATCTGTAGGCTAATTTTGAAAGACAGTCTGGTGTCTGCTCTGTAATGATTCTGCTCTTTGCCATTGCCGGGAGCAAATACAAAAAAGAGAAATGGCATCTCTTGTGGAGCAGTTTCTTTTTTTTTTTTTCAATTTATATTAAACATCTTCGATTTTCTGCTCCAATAACGTATCCCACTTGGCCATCCTTAGGTCCCCAGCGGTTCTTTCCCTGTAGCCCATCTCTGAAGGATTTAAGAAGCATCCATGGTGTCGTTATACATTCATAATCGTTTACACTTTTATTTGGAGATGATATCAGAGTTTCTAGTATCATTATAGGTTTTATCCACTTCCCAACAGTAACGAATAGGGAAAGCACTGTCACCGTATGTAGCTTCGATAGGGTAAGTCATACAATTAGACTAAAGCCTGATCTGCCGCCTCTACCTCCGACCAGATTTACTACATGATGGGGGAGATATTGTTGATGTTGTTGTTGTTGTTGTTGTTGCTAGTGTTGTTGTTAATGATATTGCTGTTGTTATTATTATTGTTGTTGTTGTTGTTTCTGTATTGTGGTTCTTTTTGCTTATATTTCCTGCTTCTTTTAACACTGTAAGATTATTTAAGTTAAACAGGTGGAAAGCTTTAAAGAATCCCAAAATAACCCAATATCAAGAGCGCCCCATTGTGAATTAGAACGAAGGTCATTCTCACCGTAGTCCAACATGGCACCAAAAGAACTAACAAGGCACACTGGTTGACAGATGTGTATTTTGTTATTTCAACTTTGCAGAATATACTCCCAATCCCCCCTCACACACACACACACACACACACACACACACACACGCACACACGCACGCACACGCTTCCCGTTTTTTATAGCTCTCTTTTTATGGTATTCCATAACAAAATTGTATTGGTAGCGCTGGAAAACGATCACTATGACGAAAAACTAGCGTCCCTTGTTAGTACTACGACTGACTACCCGCGCGCAAACCTGAAATTTAAAAAGATATTCCTAATTTATGAATTAATTAATGTGTTTTCTAGTTGGTTCCCCTCAAAGTTTACCCTTCTAGCTCCCCCTGCCCAACTCACCCCCACCGTGCCTTGTCCCACCCTCGTTCAGCATTATACGATGGCCCCACTATGGATAGTTCGCTACTTCAGAATTACAAAGTTCGATCTGCTCAAAACCAAGCTTTGAGATATCTGACCTCAACATTTTTTAAGTTTCACAATGTTCCATGCTTTTTAAAATGCAATTCTTTGAATATCTTGATACCTGCTTAGAATATTCTTACGATTTTGACAGAGCAGATAGAGCGTTTGGTTTCCGTCTTCATGGTCATACTAACTTAATTAATTCAAAACAGCCCGAAATGTGAGATAGAACTTTGTAATTCTGAGGTAGCAAGTTGGTGGTGGGAGAGCTTGTCTGGGAGCGACTTGGTGGTTGGATCCTATTTCTTTTCTTTCTGTTAATTGTTTCTGTCTGTCTGTCTGCATTCGTTTGTTGTTGTTGCTGCTATTGTTATTCTTACACTAAACGGACGGATTGGTAATAGTCAGTTTTTGTCTTTAAACAAACAAAAGTGTAATTCTTGGAAAAAAAAGACTGCAGTGACACTTTCATTACGCAGAGGTGATGACCTGTTGAATTTTTTAATACTATTTTTTTACAGCAGGTCATTATTCCCTCATTATGTAATGCAGTTGCATTTTTCAAGAAATTACCCAAAACTAAATCAGAACCGATATGACGTGATAATACAAGAATACTAAAAGTAGAGTGAAACAAAGGGTACTAAAGGATGGTATGTGAGATATTTTGCGAAGCGAACTCTCCATGGGCGGCCAAACGAAGTGCCGAACACCAGTCTCCCTCTCCCAGTCTCGCTAGAGTCAATACTTCACGTAGCCTTGATTTTTATTCCAAATTGAGTCAAACGGTGTGCACCATAGTGGACCGGTATACGTCAGAGTGTGATGATGCATTATAATGCAGTGTACAAGCCTATGTAAGCAAACGACTACTAGCCTTTGGTTTGCTTTGATTGCAAAGTTAAGGGGAGGGCTACACCTGGAGGCTATCTCGCTTATTACTGGACCGAATTTTACCACATTTCACACATATAACAAGCATAGTAAGGAGTCTTGAAATCCGCAATCAAATTTGAGAAAAAAGTTTCGTTTCCATGGATACGCCGCCATATTGGATTTTATTGACATGTCTTACGTAATGAATACCGCACTTATCGCTCATGGAAATTGATTGTTTTTTGCAGGCGTGTGCACAAACATTAGATCTAAAAATTTGTCTGTTGTTTTTTTCCTAATCGAATGAGAAAATTTTTAATGAATTTTTTCCTGAGGTAACATTCAAGTTTGCGAAAAATCCGTGAAAATCCACACTCCAGACACCACCAACAAAAATCTATTCCACATATCAAAAATTCAACAGATAAATTTTGTGAAAGTTTCATGAAGATTGGATGAATAATGGTGGAGTTATTCAAAAAAGTATAGAGAAAAGTAGCATTTTGAGAAAACGGCCGATAAAAAAAATAAAATACTGACTTTATGAGGAAATGGCGGTTACAAACTTGCCCGGTATGGGAAAAAATACGGTTTTTGGGGGTTCTTATGCCATGAAATAGTTGTAGGAGAGGCTGAGGAAGGTAAAAATGCCTACAACTCAAATTCCATGATTTTGAGCCGAATTTTGATTTTGGGGGTGTAACCCCCCCCCCCCCCCCCTTAAAAGTCAAAGTCGTCACTATTCCAACGACACACCATAGGATATAAATGCAGTTTCTTAATCTTTCAACTTTTGAATTGCACGTTTTCTGTTTAGTTTGCCTTTGTTATAATTGTTTTGTTTGGGTGTTATTTCGCGGCGGAGGATGATATACGAATAGCATAATAGACCTATGTAATCAGTGTGGCGGATAAAAAAGGAAAGATTTTTTTCCAATCCTCTCTCTCTGTCTCCAATGGGCTTAAAAAAGTGTTTTCATATGAGTCTCTGGAGTGAGGCCACTCTACCCTTTGACTGGTTACTTTTGACTTTGTCCATATCTATTTTGTCAGCTGATATCAGTATGGCATAAAAAATGTATTACATTCGTTATAGTGGTAGATCACGATTTGTCCTACTTGTGAAATTGCCAAGTGTAATTACTCGTTGAAACTCGTGATTATAGCTTGGCAATTTCATTTGCGGGATATATCATGACCTACCAATAACTCTTGTAATAAATTCTTTATCTACGACAGCAACATAATAGGTACTCTTATTTAGGGTCATGTGATCGAGTGTTACAAAAATTGACACCAAATTACCAAGAGGTGCAAACAAAAACTATTTAAAACAAATACACGTTATGCAACAATTGTCTTCCCCACACAGAAGCAAACGAAGTAGCCGACTGTTGCTCAGTATTCTCCAGCATCAGCAACTCCAAACTTTTCCTATACAATTATATCGCCAAAGCGAGGTGTTTAAATAATTTCTCTTTATTTCAGTTTGGCTTCGTTTGTCCTTTCGCCTCTTCCAAAAAAGTGTGATTGTTCAAAAGACGTGGCTGTCGTTTAATATTGACTTTGACTGGATTTGAATCTAAAGTTAAGAGCGCAAGAAACCGTCTTTATGGGTTTTGAACCCCAGACGTCTGGACCGGAGCTCAGCAACGTGTTAACAGAGATTTATATAATAATACCTCCCTCTGCACATCTAGATCAGTGTTGAGTAATGAGACGTACATTGATACAGCAATGCTCGTTCAACTCAGGAATACAGGAAGTCAGACAGACATAAACAACACCGGGAAGGGGCGGGGGGGGGGGGGGGGGCAGAATCTCCTACGAGGCCATCCAACCATCAGCTCCTAGAAAAGAGTACCAAAAATAAAACCAACAGAAACAAAAAGCATCAACAAAAAAAAGCAATAAAAAATGAATGAAAACTTTTTAATCCAAATTAAGTACCTCATCAATGGGTTTTCCCCCTTTGGCAGGCAGTAAATATCCATGATGTAGCACACGGAAACACCTAGGACGTGTCATATGGCGTAAGAATATCCGGCCTCTTCCCGAGAGACGTTCAACCGGAAGCCAAATTGGCAGACGCGAGCGGACAGAGCGAGCAGTACACAGCAAACGATGAACACGGCGTCTGAGCCTATACTTTAGCGTGGCTATGGCTGTGTTCTAAGCAGGCTTCAGCACTTATCTATCTCAGATGCGGTACCAACGGTGTACCACTTCCGTCTGCGATAGGTTTAGGACTTCCAGAGAGAAAGCTATAATTAGTCCTTGAATAATAAATCAGGAGGTGGATTTCCGGAGATTCTTACCCCAACATCATTCCCCCGCCCCCCTTTCCCCCACACACACTCACTTTTTTCTGCCTGTAAGAATAATTATGGTGAATATGGTTTATTGGTATCACATCCTTTTATTTCTATTTTTTGACTTACAAAGCTGTTTGTGTGTGTTCACGCACGCGTGCACGAGTGTGCGTTCGTGTGTGTTTGTGTGTGTGTGCGTATGAATGGGTGTTTCCCATTTTTATCTATCTATCTATCTATCTATCTATCTATCTATCTATCTATCTATCTATCTATCTATCTACCAGTTTTTATAAAATGACGAGGCGTAGGGATAAAAATAATCAGGTTACGAAACGTTCGTATTATTGTTATTATTATTACCTTATAACACTGAATAAAAGTTGAGAAATATATTGAACGATATCTATTTATGAAGAAATATTGCACAGGAAAGTCTAGAAGCAAACACGGAGTGAGTTGATGAAGAATAGAAATTGATCTGGGAAGGGGAGAGAGAAAAAAATAAAGTGGTCGGGGTGGCGGGGGGAGTAGTTTATACATGTCTGGTTGCTCCGTCGTTGCATTTATCCTCTTGCAGGAGCGGATAAAAGTGTTATGTTTTTCTCTCGATAACAGCCGACCATGAGATTATAAACTGCGCAGTAAGTGCTCACTCACACTTGGGGGGGGGGAGGACAAGAATACGATAGTGAGCAACGAATTTTAGTCTAAGCGCGAGGAAAACGTAGTAGCTGTTGGTATTTTATCATGCTGTTTATTCCGGGTGAGTAATGAGTATTTCGGATTTGATAAGACTGGGTGAAAAAGAAAGAAAGGTGATTACTGTCTAACTTCAACTCGGATATTATTTTTCTTTGAAATCATTTTACGTTTTGATGTTTGATTTTGGACCTGCACCACCTCCCAACCTTATAAAATCATAATTAATTGAACGGGAACAAATTGGACAGTAAATCGAAGGAACATTGGTCAACTACCGATTTTCGATCTGTGATGTAATTGTTAAGGTGTTCGTCTTGCACACAAAAGACATGAGTTCAATCACAGCTGTGAGAAAATAGTACGTTCACTAATATCTTAGTCTTTCTGCTTGAAGTGCAACAAACCACATTGCCCAGGTAAGCTCTGGCAGGCAGGCGGGAGAAACACATCCCTCCTCCTCAATTACCTAATTTGTATTGGTGCCGCCGTAACACGTTTTCAACCAACCAATCGTCAATTACGATTGATATGCTTTTTTGAATCTACAACCAACAGCGTTTTTAACTTAGTCAAACCCTTGCAGAGAGAATTAAAGTAACATGTCTCTTTTTCAACAGAGGAAACGGGGTGTTATTTGAATAAAGGGCACAAAATAAGTCATGTACTAATGATGATGATGATCATCACCATGAATCATGATGATGATGATTTCATCATCATCATCATCATCATCATCATCATCATCATCAGCAGCATCATCATCAGCAGCAGCATCATCATCATCATCAGCATCATCATCAGCATCATCATCAGCATCAGCATCATCATCAGCATCATCATCTCTATAGTGCCCACAATTTTTCCATACTGCGCTAAGCGCTTTACTACACCTTCATCTTCACCCAAATTACATGTGCAAGAACATGCATACATGCGCAATTTAGACTGACGCCAGGTAACAAAAAAACTGACACTCCTACATGTACTTTTATGACACAGTCAATGACGTTATACACATCACATTACGAATATAGAATAATATGATGAATAAGATGAACTAGAAATCTAGACTGCATTTCTTAAGGTAAATGAATTTAAAATAATGGTCCCTTCGACTGTTCATCCCTCAAATTAATGTTGTGGGAGGGAGTTTCACACAGATGGTGCAAGAGGAGAGTTAAATAAACGAAGTGTAAGAACTTCCCAGTGACGCTCCCGATCCAATCACGTAGACGGTTACGGCATTTAAGAGGCAAAAAAGGGTGGGAGTTGGGAGGTGGCGATTGGGGAGGGGGGCGAAAAAAAGTAGTCGTAGTTGTGGTTGGTTAAAAAGATTTAATGTGTGTCGGAGTCTCGCACCACGCACGCGGTCTTGTAAGCTGATTACACCCTACAGAGTGTCGTGATCGGAATACAAAACTAATGTTCTACTGGACTACATCTCACAGAGTGACGTGGCCGCTTGCTTTTTTTAAAAAACATTTTTGCGTCGCTGGCTGTGGGGTGTTGGAGGGTATCTTTGATGTGCTCTACTTTTTTCCTATTTATTTAAGCGTTCTTTCTGCTATTAAATATTCTTTTTTTTTTTCTTGTTCCTGATTTTCTTCTCCTTGTTCTTCTTGTTCTTATATTTTCTTCTTTTTCTACTCGTCTTTTTCGTTGTCGTCTTCCTCCTCCTTCTTCTAATCTTCCTCCCTTTCTTCCTCCATCTCCCATCCCCTCCTCATTTTCCGCTTACACTTCAATCTACTCTTTTTCTTCCCCTTTTCTTCTTCTTCTACTTCTTCTTCTTCTTCTTCTTCTTCTTCTTCTTCTTCTTCTTCTTCTTCTTCTTTTTCTTCTTCTTCTTCTTCTTCTTCTTCTTCTTCTTCTTCCTCGTTTATACCCCTCACTTGAGCTTCATTATCATATAACTGTCCGAATGCGTATCCACGAGGCCAAGTATTCATTCTCTGGAACTTGTGCACAAAAGTAGATGGACATTTCTATTAACAAGCCGGCCCGGGGGAGGGTCGTCCATCTCACTCTGGTCAGACGGCATGTAGAGCGAGATTAGAAATAACAGCACCCGACAGGGACTCCTCATAGTGTCTGTGGGTGTGAGAGGGAGGGAAACAGAGAGAGAGAGAGAGAGAGAGAGGGGGGGAGGGAGAGAGAAACTGAGAGAGAGAGAACGAGAGAGAAGAAAGAGGGAGAGTGAGAAGGAGACGTGGAGAGAGAGACCGGGAGAGAGAAAAGGAATGTGAGAGAATGGTAGGGAGATAGAAAAATACCACAGTGAGAGTAAAAGACAAGAGGGAAAGGGGAGAGAGAGAGAGAGAGAGAGAGAGAGAGAGAGAGAGAGAGAGAGAGAGAGAGAGAGAGAGAGATGAGAGAAAGAGACGAAAGAGATTAGAGGAGGGGGAGGGGGGTTGACAGGACAGAGTCAAGAGACGATGAAAACTTGAAGTGCCATATTATCATCTTATACTATGTGTACACTCATTGGACTATCAAGACTCTCTAATTATCTGTGAATAGTATTAACAGTTTTTGTTTACATAAAAATATTCACCTCAACCTGATAGAAACATTATTGTTCTGTTTGGGGGTTTTGTGTCGATTTTGGCCATTTTCCTAACGAAAATTGTTTCAGGCGGAGGCCCCGAACTCAGATGGCCATTGAATCGAAAAAGTGAAAGTGAAATAAATTACACGACAATTTGAAGTATATTTTTAAAGTTTCATTCCTGTGCTGACAGCAAAAATTATGAAGGAAAGGTGAGACTGATTATTTTAACTGAAATAAATGTTTTAAGCCCTGATCCATGATATTTATAGCAATGAGGAAGTGGGATGCTTCAACATTGTGTTTGTTTGTGTAAATAGGATTAAGCCAAGGTATAAAATAGTTGTATATCAGGAGGCATCAAAGAGATTATAAATAACCTCTTTGGGAAGGATCTCCTTTTGCACCAAATCACCTGTCTATTGTTTGTTTACTGAGCTCACCCATGTCGCGAGCTCGCTCTCACTTTCGCTCACGAAACGCCAGTCAAGAAATATCCATCTATGTGAACGGACGACTGTGTGCTGTCTTGTAAAAACGGTCCCGACGTTACAAACGTGCTCATCATTGCTTACCCGGGCCGATTGAGATACAGCTTCCCAAACAACAGGAAGACGGCAATATTTGATTGAATAACTTAAGCTCTCGGGAGTCGAACTTTCATCTTCTGCAAGCAGTAACGAATAACATAATATTAACCGTTACGCCAAAGAGGGAAAGAAATGGATCAATTTTGATATACCCGACAGTTGATATCACACAGGTATCTATTTATTATGAGGGCACCGGTGTATTGTGGTGTTTAGTTAGGCTGTTCCTCCGTTGATTTTCTCAGAGGGAAGGTATTTTAAACAACATCTTCGTCTTTATGTTCTAATGTGGAGTTGACTCTATTTGTTTCGTGCTTGTTTGGTTTTTAAGAATGGCTTTTCTTTTGCTCATCACCATTTTAGCCGTTACCTTCAGTGCAGGGGGCAGGGATCTGGTCCGGGGTCTGGACCCGAGCCCCCAAAACTTTAGAAAGTCCTTGCTTGTGTGACCAAGATTTCATGATTCTTGACGCGAGTCCTGGGGTTTAGGCTGCGCAAGATATTCTTCCATTGGCTCCGGGTAGATTGAAGTGGTAGGACAAATTTTCTTTTCTGAAATAGACGTGTATTCTATTTTAGATTCATTATCATAGTCAAATGTACTATGGATTGGATACTAAACGCCATGCCGGTTGGATGTAACCCAATCTGTTCCGACTATGTAAACTAACCAGACAATAAGGCGATAAACCCAGGCGAGACTTCTGCGTATGTATTAAAAACTAACCGTGGGCTCTCGTGGTCTAGAGGTTACGGAATTCGCCTCTCGTGCAATAAGTACTGGGTTTGAAACCTGACAGCGACGGAAAATGTTCTTCTCTAAAATTGTCTCCTTTCGCCTACTGTCCTGCTCTCTAACCATGTTCTGTCGTCTGCTTTCGTCTCCACTTTCTGCCCCCCCCCCCCCCAAAAAAAAAATCTCCTTTGCCCGCTCCTCTGGGCTCCTTACTCTTTCTGAAGCCTTCCTACTGCTACTCCTTGGCTTCTTCTTACTGTTGTCTTTCAGCCACACCCCTGATTTTTTGTTAGATAAGAT